GATGCAGATGCGGGTTCTGATGTATTCGTGGGAGACGGTGAGCGCTGCCTCCTTCTGCTCCACCATCTTGAAGCCTGGCCTGTGATGACACTTTGATTTAGGCCCAGTGTAACAGATTTCCCAATTCTGACTTCCAAAGTCCGTGTTTTAGTCCCCTGTTGTGGTGATTTTCTCAGAGCTGCCACCGCCACTTACACGCAAGATCTGCACACACGTCCTTGACCACGAGTCTTATTTCCAGTGACAACGGAGGGTGACATGTCAAGGACCTCGTGTTCTTCTCCACCTGCCAACGTCCTTCCAGGTGTCACCCACAGACTAGACTGAAGGTCATCGTCTCTGACCACGTGGGAGTTAGCTGGCTGCTCAGGAGAGAGGACCCAGCACCCTCCGAGCACTGCGTGTTCAGTGGCCTCACGCCCATCCCCCACGGTGACAGTATTTACACCAAGGAGACCAGGAAGCAGCACCAGAACAGGTGCCGTGTTCTGTTTCCCTACTCCTCCCCTCCCAAGAGCTGGTTTTCCAAACTAGCACTAAAAACGTTTGTTGACAATCCCAAAGCTAGGTTCCCTTGTTTTCTCAGCTTTAAATTCATAACCTGAAGTCAAAGGAAGGCTGCACCCAAGGTGCTCCTGTCGCTGCCCCAGCCCAGCACAGCTGCCCTGTCCTCTGGGGTTCCAGACACCCTCCAGATGTGGGTGGTCACACTGTGTCTCTCGCACAGTAACACGTGGCCGTGTCCTCAGACTTCAGGCTGCTGATCTGCAGATAGGCTGTGCTGATGGAAGTGTCCATGGAGAAGACACATCGGTCCGAGAAGCCCTGGGCATATGTTGGCTTCCCAGTGTCGGTGTTGATCCATCCCATAGACTCCAGTCCCTTTCCAGGGGCCTGTCGCCCCCAGCTCAGCACAGCTGGTGAGGGTGTATCCAGAAGCCTTGCAGGAGACCTTCACCGAGGCCCCAGGCGCCCTCAGCTCAGCCCCTGGCTGCACCAGCTGCACTTGTGAGCTGACACCTGCGGAGAAGAGGCAAGAGTGGCTGGAATCCCCATTGGCTGGTTGGCCCTCCTCAACCCAGGGGCCGAGGGCCTCTAACCTGTGACTGCTGTCAGGAGGAAGAGGATTGTCCAGGTCCCGTCCATGGTGAGGGCTGAGCTCCCAGGACTCCTGTGGAGGAGGGCGTGTTGCTGGATGATGCCCACAGGGCTCAGATCCTCACATGTTCAACCTGGTACTCCTCATCTCATTTGCATATTCATAAAGCAGGATATTTCTTATCACAAAGGGACGCATCAGGGGAGGCAACAGACGACACCAAACCCACACAGTCCCGGGGTGCCGAGGGCGTACGTCCTCACGCCTGTTTGAGGGTGTGACCCCTGCCACATCCCTGACCTCCGTGCCGGCCGAGTTCCTCACCCTGAGGGGCAAGCATACTCAGAACAAGCCTCTCGCTGTGAACGCAGTTTTGAACGACACGGATCGGCTGCACCTGCTCTGGACTCTGATATTTGAGTGTCTTAATCCTGGGTTTCCGGTGTCCCGTGAAATGTTGCTCTCATTGAGTGCATGCGCCACCCGGCTCTCTAGCTTCTCCTGAAAACAAAGCCCCAAGGAACCTCTTTCAAATCTGCTTTTCACTGCCTTGAGTCAAGTAAGTTCTTAACATAGAATAGTGCACTTAAGGACACCATGGCTGCACTTGCCAACTTCTATTTTGGATTTTTTTTTAAAGGGAAAGACTAGAAACCGGAGAGGAAATCCCTCTTGAGCTCCCCCTGCACCTGCTCCTGGGCTGGAGCCCTGAGCTGGGTGGGTCCTGAGCCCCCCTGCAGACAAGCCCCACCCCTACAGTGGAGGGTCACAGGGCGGCTACCACTCAGTGTCCCTCGTCCAGCCTTAACGGCTGCTCCCTGGCTCGATCACTTCTGAGACACCATACACACCTGACACCCTCTCTAGAAATAGTGGATTGTCCTTTCTGAACCACACCCTCTGCGGGAGACCCCAAGCAAGGGTTTGATGAAACCACCAGGCTCCCCCTGCCCTGGAGCTGCCATGCGCACTGACTCGACACCCGTGGTGTGTTCTGAGCGTTTGGGGCTCTGAAGGCGCCTCCCCTCTCCTTTAGGGTCCTCT